GGGGGAAGGGATGAGGGAAGAGCTTCACAGGGGAGGTGGCAACTGGTAGCAGCTCCGTCTGTGAGTGCAAGCTTGGGCCCCGTCCTGGCTTAGTTGGGTCTAAGTGGGTCATGCATCTGTGTTTTTTGTATAAACCAGCACTGGAAACAGGAAGGCCTTGATGTGAAAACCATGATGAACACCTGGACGCTGCAGAAGGGCTTTCCCCTGATAACCATCACAGTGAGAGGGAGGAACGTACACATGAAGCAAGAGCACTATATGAAAGGATCTGAGGGCACCCCAGAAACTGGGTAAGGGTACTTGAGAAAAACTCATTCTGTTGCTTCAGTAACATCTGTCTTAGAGGACAAAACCTTATTTTTGAAATAGTGCCCTTACCTTTATTGCTAAAATGTTTCAATCAAATCTACATATGCTATGAAGTTGACATATACACCACCATCTCCCCAAGAGGATGAAGGGGGCTCTAAAACCTTGGTTCATCTCAGTGAAGCGGATGATGTACAATTATTTTAACATGCTCATGTTTTGTACTTTGATTAGATGGTAATTTCCAGTTACTGGCTAGAATCTAAGTAACTGCCACTAAGTTACAGTAGTGGGTGGGAATTATGATTTCTGAGAATCATGAGAGACTCAATTCTTTTCTTTTGGAAGTCTCAGTTGGATCATGGAACTTGTTTGTCAGCTTAACATGACAGAAGGACATCACTGGAAATGACACACTGCAGCATGATTGGCCCTAGATGCACACTATTTTAAAATTTTTATTTCAAAAGAGTTTTAGAGTTAATGGAGAAGTTGCAAGAAGAGCGCAAATATTTCCATATATTTTTTACCCAGACATATATATTAACTGTTTACCACATTTGCTTTATCTCTCTCTCTCTCTCTCTGTCTCTCTGTGTGTGTGTGTATATATATATATATATATATATATATATATAAAATATCTTATTGAACTCTAATATATGTTTTCTCTATATTTCTCTCTCATTCAGCTTTTCCCGGTTTGAGAGGAATTTGTAGACATGATAATCCTTTACCTCAAAATACTTTAGTGTAGTATTTTCTAAAAAACAAGAACATTCACTTATATAGCCACAGCACAATTATTAAAATTATGAAATAAACTCAATACAGTGCTATTATCTGACCTATAAACTTTATTCAGATTTTTCCAATTGTCCTAATGTCTTTATAGAAAAAGAAAAATTGTCCTTCAGGAAGGATTCAATATAGGATCACATTGTATTAATTGTATTTCTTTAGTCTCTTTTCTCTGAAACTGTTCCTCAAGTCTTTGTCTGTTTTGACCTTGACATTTTTGAAGGGTACAGGCCAATTATTTTGTGGAATGTCCTCCAATTTGGGTTTTCTGCTGTTTCTTCGTGATCAGATTCAGGTTATGCATCATTAGCAGGAATTCCATAGAAGTGATGTGTTCTTCTTAGTATATGATTTCGGAAGCACATGATGTCAATTTGTGCCATTACTAGTGGTCATGGTTTTTAAGTTCAGCCCTGAGCTCCAGCCAGTCACTGTAAGGGCTGTCAGGGCTCACTTGAGCCCAAATTCCTAACTCTACCCAAGGAGCCCGAGAAGGATGAATAGTGCCTGAAAAACGGGATGGGGGTGTTTTGATCTCTTGGCAATAGCAGCTTTGGTACCCTTCTTTCTTAAATTAGGAGGTGCCTGGTATGTGGTAGGTGATTTAATAGCTGCTTGTTCAGTTGACTCAACTAATGAGCAATTCACCCTCCTTCCTTTCAGGTACCTGTGGCATGTTCCATTGACATTTATCACCAGCAAATCAGATTCAGTCCATAGATTTTTGCTGAAGACAAAAACAGGTAATTTGTCGGGGAGATAACTAGGTTAATGAAAGAAAGAGCTTTGGAAATGTGCAGGATTTAGGTACCACCTTTCTTTTGCTATTTATCTTGGTTAAAACAAAAAGGATCAGGTCAACCTTTTATCTTCAGCAAATCTCTGGCTTTCATTTTCTAGTGAAGACTATAGGTTGGAAAATACTGTCTGGTTGAAAAAAGGCCAGTATCTTGCCAGATAAAGATGAAAACAATTGAGTTATGTAATGCTAAAAAGAAGGGATTCCTAGTGAAAATTCCCCATTACTTTGTTAACATTGCTGGGTTGTGTCATACGGATGGCCTGAAACGTGGCTGCATTCTTCTCATAGATCTATAAATCTCATAAAATCGGTGTCTAAAACTAGGGTTAGCTTTTGTGTACCAGGATGCTGTTTTTTGGTTTCTAAAAGAAACATGTTAATATGAAACTCATTTCAGTATTAAAATTGTTCAGTATTAAACTTGCCTGTAGTTTCGTGTCCGGTCTCTGATCAGAAAAGCTTTCATCCGTCAAGAGAGAAAATGGAGCCGTGACTTATCTCATCTGCCCTAGATGTGCTCATCCTCCCGGAAGAGGTGGAATGGATCAAATTCAATGTGGGAATGAATGGCTATTACATCGTGCATTATGAGGATGATGGATGGGACTCTTTGACTGGCCTTTTACAAGGAACACACACAGCAATCAGCAGTAATGATCGGGCCAGTCTCATTAACAATGTGTTTCAGCTTGTCAGGTAATACAAGCTCCTTGGAGTCTTGGTTTATTTCTGAGAGCAGCTGTTATCACTCAAATTCTTGATTTCTAAAGATGAAAATGATTGATTGCTAATAAGTTGAAGGGTGTTTTCCCCTAAGTTTTTCTAAGAACCCAAGGTTGTTTTTAGCCTTTTGGTTAACCTCCTGTCTGTGTCTGCTGAGTAAGGTAAAGGAAGGAATCTGTATTTTAATCTTTTTCATTAACAACTAGGATCATGTGGAGGCTAATGTGCAGAAAATCAGGAGACCCACACCCTGGAGAAGCCCCTTGCCTAGTTTCTAAAGGCTTGTCCTGCTTCTTTTTCTCGCCCTGCTTTACCAAATCAGGTTTCTCCCCTGCTGGGTCTTGAACAAGCTTGAAGCCTTCTCCCAAGAATGAGTGGCCCAGGCCCAAGTTGTTCAAGTTACATCTCCTGGATTAAATCAGGTTCCCTCCACCCCCACCCTGCAACCCATATCCCTGAACTTCACATCATCTTTATGGAATACAGCTCATAAAATGCCACTCAACCAAATGACCTTTGAACTGCTGAGGATAGTGTTTAATTTTTTTTTTTTTTTTTTTTTTCCCCCTGACAAAGGTGTTTAAGGAAATAGTCTGCAAGCCAAAAACTTGCATTTCTTCTTTATTTAGGCAGAGCAGAAGTCCTAAGGGGAATCTCCCAGGTAGAAAGGAATAATTTATACTTCTCCTCATGCCCCATGCACTTCTGCTCTAAATGCCAAGTTCTTCCTCCTCTGGGCCTCTTGAGGTGACAAAAAGCAATAGGGGGTAAAAATAGGGGTTGCTTAGCCAGCTGTTCTGAGTGCCTGAAAGTATCCCCCTCTGTAGCATACTGCTGCTTAAATCTTAGAGGGTTTTGTGTTTATATGAGCATATACCTTACCACTGAGGCTTTTAGCACCAGCCCTCTATAACCAAGGGTTTATATGTATATTCAGTTCCTTTTTGGAATGGAGGAGAGGATGTGTTGACTCCAAAGACTCACACAGTTAACTTAGAGTGGCAGTCTCTCCGACTGGGCTTCGTGAAGGATCTTTGATCAAAATCCCCATCTTACCCTGGAAGTTCACACAGTCCAACGTTTCCTAGAGGGACAGACCCTGACATGCTTCCATTTTGTCTTAACCACAAGTTAGCCCTAGCTCTGTTGTTATTTGAGAAACTTCCTCCACGGGGTAAATATGCCAGATGTGTTATTTGTGACAGAGAAGATACTAATATAAAGATCCTTATTTATAAGGGGCATGGATAACTGATTGATTTTTTTTGCTGGGAGATTGTTAAAATATCTTTTGAAACAAAAAGTTAAGTTCCTGGATTCTCTTTTTAAACTGCTAACCATGGTATCTCCTGACCAGCATTGGAAAGCTACCGATTGAAAAAGCCTTGAATTTAGCCCTGTACTTGAAACATGAAACGGAAATTATGCCCGTTTTCCAAGGTTTGGATGAGCTGATACCTATGTATAAGTTAATGGAGAAAAGAGATATGAATGAAGTGGAAATTCAATTCAAGGTAAAAGCCTGAAATAAATTGAGTAGTTACAAAAGTGGTTTGTTTTTCTATGGGTGTGGAAGAATTCTTACCATTAAAGAAAAGTAAATCAAAATGAACTCAGTATTTGGGTTGACTGGCAAAGATATTGGTTTTATTTTAGCGCTAAAAATAGACGCGGCGCTCTGAGACTCTACTTAATTTTCATGGATTTCTTACTCCCTTCCTTTTGCAAATCCTTTATCTCATTTTACTTCTGTATTATGATGGCTGCTATTAAGATTTTCTGGGACTCAGGTACTTGAGGAAGAGGTATAAAGTTATCTTTTGGCAAAATATCATGAAGTCCCGTTGTATAATTTGCCCTCAAAATGTAGTCATATAAATTCTCTTAGTTTGTTTTAAAAGTGGTAGTTTATCCTGATTTTAAGTAGGTAAAGATAAATTTATAAAAGATTGTTATGCAAATACTAAAATAGTTTATCATTTCTTATTTAAGAGTTGCATTAAGCTTTTAAAAATATTCCCTCTCACCTGAGTGTATTGTATTATATCAAAATGAGAGGACCTGGGACAGTACTGGTGACACTGTGGCTTTCCCTCAGGCCTTTCTCATCAGGCTGCTGAGGCGCCTCATTGACAAGCAGACCTGGACTGACGAGGGCTCCGTCTCAGAGCGAATGCTGCGGAGTCAGCTCCTTCTCTTTGCCTGTGTGCGCAAGTATCAGCCCTGTGTGCAGAGGGCAGAACGCTATTTCAGAGAATGGAAGGAAGCCGATGGAAACTTGAGGTCTGTCCTTAGCAAACAGCCAGTTCGTTCATGGAAGGGGGGGTACCTTTTCTATTTTCCATCATCACTGCTGAAAAACCAGCTATAGACAAGTCTCCGCTGTCTCCCATTTTAGGAAAATAAATTACTTCCTAAGATTTATCTATGTATCTCTCAACTCTAATGCTAGGAGGGAAATTCTATGCACAAAAGTCAAATATCTGCAGAATTAGAATGGGATTAGAATAGTTCCCACTCTGTGCAGCCAAGGGTACAAAACTTTATCGGAACTGAGACAGCTGCACTGCCAGGACCAGAGGCAATGCAGCTCACAGTATTTCCTTTGGGTGACCAAAGTCCCTGTCAGTAGGTGCATAGTAGTTGCTGATGCTGTCTAAATAAAGTAGGATCTTCCTCTGTTTGGAAATTTAATTCTTACTATACTTAGGTACATTTGGGGTTTAAATCCCATTTGGCAAATATTAAGCCAATGGTACACACACTTTCATTGAAAGAAATGCTTGTAAACAAGCATTGGGTTCCTGATGTTTGTTCATGGACTACATCTTGAGTCTAGTTTGAATCTCTTTATTTTGGCTTGAAAGTGACCACCTGTTGAGTCACCCTGCATCATTAAAGCATGTTAGATTCATAGATACTTGTAAAAGTGGTGTTTCACATTACATTTTCCAGAAGGCTACTCACAACCTAATTTTAGATATTTTCTCTTGCCTCTTTCAAAAAATTTAACTGAAGGAAAGAGGTTATTTTTGTTTAGATTTCGAGGCATGTTTCCCTGATCATGGGGCCAGCTTATCAGTTTATAATTGGTCACCATTCTGCATCCAAACACAGTTCCTACATCTTAGACTCTCACCTAGTATGTTTTTCCCCCACAGGCTGCCCAACGATGTGACCTTGGCAGTGTTTGCTGTGGGAGCCCAGACCACTGACGGATGGGATTTTCTCTATAGTAAATATCAGTCTTCTCTGTCCAGTACCGAGAAAGACCAAATTGAATTTGCCCTCTGTGTTAGCCAAAATAAGGAAAAGCTTCAGTGGTGAGTAATTCATTCATGCTCGTGCATGAACAAAGGAATTAAGTTAGATCAGATCCTTCTGACATCTGTTTTTGTTCTTTTGGCCAGGAATTATCTGTTCTGCTGGGAACATTTATACTAGCAACCACATATCTAACAAGGCTGGTGAATAATTGTTAGGAAAAATATTTAAAGGAGCATACATTTGTGTATCTTTAAAATAACAAATTTAGAAAATATATTTGTGTATCTTTAAAATAACAGATTTATACTTTCTTAGCTCCTCTTATGAGCAAATGAGAGAATATGTGAGAATATGTGTTTGTTAGTTTTATTACGTAGCTATGGTGAGTTTGTCAGGGCTCTGGTTATCTATTATCTTTTTGGTCTTTGTTATTGGCAGAGGGCAGAGTGGCTTCTTTTCTTTCACAAATTATTTTATGGAATAACTTTATCATTTACAACTTTTTGGGGGTGTATCCATTGCTAACATTTCTTCTCTTAATCATTCTAGGCTCCTAGACCAAAGTTTTAAAGGAGATGTAATAAAAACTCAAGAGTTTCCAGGTATTCTTACAATGATTGGCAAAAACCCAGTGGGATATCCATTGGCCTGGAAGTTTCTGAGGGAGAATTGGAATAAACTTGTGCAAAAGTAAGTAGTGCCAAAGACTGTGCTGTGCCTGGAAAAGTTCCTTAACCTGGCTATGGTTTTGCTTTGTTTGTAAAACAACAGTGATCGTCTAAAGGGGGTTTTCATTGAAGCTAGAAAGTAGAGGTCCTTAAAATAGCCTTAGAAAATATAAAACTCTAATTCATTGCTAGTTCATGAATCTGGGTAGTCAGGTTTTCCATTCCATGCGGAATAATCCCTCCCTGCACCCACTGACCTACCAGAAGTCTCCTGCTCAGCACTTTCACTGGTTTGTATCTGCCCTTGTCTAACTTATATAGCCTTATTACCTCTATCATTTTCTTTTGGGTATTTCATTTTTATTCAGCTGTTGGTGTTTATTTTTTGGCAACTAGATATTAACCCATTGGAGGGTAGGGATCATGTCCATGTTTTTCATGCCTAACCAGTTTTTAGTTAAATGCTATAACATACGAGGCACTTAAAAATATATGTTGAAAAAATAAATATTTCACAATATAACTTGATGGTTTCCATTTCTAGGTTTGAACTTGGCTCATCTACCATAGCCTACATGGTGATGGGAACAACAAATCAGTTCTCCACAAGAGCACGGCTTGAAGAGGTAAAAAAAAAAATCTCTTTAAGCTTAAGTGACAATTAGCTAATAAGTATGGGTTAGACAACACATTTTTAAGATGTGATGAGTTAGAAATAGATTTTGTCATTTAGTAGATGTTCTTTTTGGATGCTATGGTGGTTTTAATGTAAGCAAGAATCAGTTAGTTACAAATGAACTAGTAAAAACTGTCTCTTCCCAAACACATGAAGAAGTCTTAGCCTTGCCATTAGATTTTAGAGCTTAAAAATCACTTTAGACACTCCCGTTTTCAGGTGATTAAAGTGATCAGTAGAGGTATAAGTTACTGAAGTGGCCATCCAGCCTCTGTAAAGAGGTAGGTGGAATCCAGCTTCTCCACTATCCAGGTTCATGATTTCCTGTTCCTTATTTATACAACATCTACTTTCAGAAAGGATTTCAGGCAGATTATAAGGTCCAGATATAAAAGAAATGTTAAAATAAAGAAAAGTTGCGTAATGGACAGAAAGAGGTAACTGTCTGAAGGATTTATGCTGAGGATAATTTATTGCAATTGAACCCTAACTTTATCACAGCTTCCTAGCAGTCAAGGAAACACAGTCATGAGAACACAGTATGAGTTATTCTTATTGTCTGGGAAGAGGGAACCATACAAGTTTTCCACAAAAGCACGCTTTCTCCCAGTCTTAAGCTCTGAAGAATTTGATATATGGGTTGTTTGTGGTGTCCAGTCTATGATAATGTTTTCTATAGTAAAGTCGTAGAACAAATTTTACGTGGTTCTAAAACTGTGTTGCATTTAGATAAAATCTGAGAGCCAAATATTAATTTTTAAGGAATAGTTTCACGTGTAGCCTGGTTACACTGCAGTCTAGCTTGATATAGGAAGAGTGCTTTGAAAATGCAAAAGAAATGCCATGTACCCTTAACTTTTGTCCAGTTTTCAGCAGCCTCACCCAGGCTTGTAAAATTAACTCACACATAATATCTCAAGCTTGAACTCCAGTGAGGACCACAGCAGAGGTATCTGTGTCATGACCAAAGAGTTATCCATAGGCTGTGACTAGACAGCTGTCTATAGAACAGATCTGTAGCAACAAAACATTTCATTCATTCATTTTCTCATTAATTCACTCAAGACATCCTATTGTTACTATATGGCAGGTTTTAGGTTCTGGGGTATGGTGATGAACAGAAGAGACAAATGCCCCTGTTCTCATGTAGCGTAAATTCCAGGGAAATCAGAGAATTACAGACAAACAGCCTTTGTCAGGTTGAAGACTGACTAAGGTAAGGATAGAGAGTGCCTGGAGGAAGGAGTGGCACTGTGCTTTACAGGATGTTTAGGAGACATTTGAGTGGATATTGAAGGAAATGCAGATATCTAGGAGAGTGTTGTGTGCATAGAAGATATCAGGTGCAAAATCTTTGAGGCAGGACATGGAAATGAAGGAGCCTGAGATAATGTCATACTAGAGAGCATCCTACTGACATTAAAACATAGGAGTCACCCTGAGCCCTTCCTCCCCCTCACATCTAAATCATCCCTGAGTCCTGTCGGCCCTGTCTTTGGTATATGCAACATAGCTTTGCATGTCTTTCTGCCTCTTAGCCCGTCCAAGCTTTTCTTATTTTTTGCCTGGTCTGTGGTGATAGCTTCCTAACTGGCCTCCCTCCTGCCACTTTGCCATTAACCAAACCATTTTCCACATTTAAAACTGAAAATCAGCCCACCATTGACCTGCTTCTTAAAACCCTATGGTTCTTGCAATAAAGTCCAAATCTCTCCTTCCTGTGTGTACAAGGCTGTGATGACCTGCCCCTGCCCACCTCTCCCGCCAGTTCTCACCTGCTCTCCTTGTTCACTGTCTCTCAGTGCTCCAGCCACTCGGCCTCCTCCTGCTCCTGCTCCTGCTCCTGGGCCGCCAGCTGGTTCTCTGACCTCTAAGGCTCTGCACTTTCTTCTCTGCCTAGCTTGCTCTTTCCCCAACTCTGCTGGAAAGCTCATTTTACCCTTTCAGGGTTCCAGCTCAAGGTCACTTTCCTAGGCCACTCCGTGTGCAGCAGACCACCCCCGCCCCAGTTACTGTCACAGCCCTGGTTTATTTTCACAGTAGTGTATTTACAGTAATCACAGTTTACTGCTTGTCTCCCCAGGGAGACTGTAAGCTGCACGAGCGTAGGGTGCTCTGCGGCACTGCCTCATCCTCAGTTCGAGCACCGTAACTAAGGCAAGGGCTGAGTCAGTACCAGTGTCGATATTCACGAATGGATGACGTGAAGTTCCTGATACACGCTGGGTTTTAGGTTCTGCACCTTACCCATGTCATATACCTCCCCTCTGCAATGTAGAGATGACTCTCATTTAACAAATGAGACTATCCCAGAGAAGTTAAATTATTTGCTCAAACTAGTTAGAATAAACCTGTTTCTATGCCTTTATCATGCTGCTTGTTGCACTGAAAATGTTCTCAAGGAGGCAGGTTTGAATCAAATACTCAGATGACATGCTGCATTTCCCAAAGCAGATCATATAGGAGGGAGACTTTTGGGTCAGGAGAAATTTAAGGGCAAGTGTTAACAACTGGTTTTGTTGCAAATCTTGTAGGTCTGCTTTTTAGTGGTACTATCATGATGGGATCCTTCAGGATTAGACAGTTTGACCCACTGGTAAAATTACTGATGTGGTTTGATTGTTGAAGAGTGCCCAGAGTGATTTTTGATTGAATATCAATTAATCTTCAGTTCTGAGAGTATGAAAGAAGGTTGAGCTACACTTAGGATAGAGGAGAGTATTTTCTAGGTTGCCACAGCAGGAGGGCATGCCTCTAAGCTCATCAAGAAGTTGCACTGAGATATAATTTTAAAACAACCTTGCATCATTTAAAATTGGGATTTGGTCTTTCAAAAACCTATTCTACACCCCTCTTCTTTTCAAACTCATGATATTATGGCATGGATTTTTTTTAAGGAATGAACTGTCTGGAATCCATGCTGAATAAACAATACGTCTTGGCCTAGACTTGCTTTCTGTCTACAAAATCAGAAATTGATGGATTAATGCTATGAAAATTTATGGGAAAAGGTTAAGAACCCTTTAAGGTGAAACAGAGGAGCACAATGATCAGTGCTATGGCAAAGAAAGCCTGTTCCTCATCCGAGCTTAACAGGGTTAAGATACCCAGTGATGGAACAGCAAAAAGTTTTCAAGGAGATAGTCAAGTTTCTTCTCTTTAAAACCATGGGAAACTTTGTGTGGGTTTTACCTTGAGGGAACAGTACCTGAATTGTGGATTAGGATGACAAAAACTTGGCCAAGTTTGGGGTATTACCACCATAACTTGCTAAGAATCCCATTCCCCACAGTGTTCCTGTAATGACACGAAAGGCTAGGTCCATGGAGAAAGACTGCATTTATGTGGTTGAAACTGTTTTGCTTGGCAGAGAAGACACTGTGCACATACTGCTTTTTAGATATCATTAAAAAAAATTAAGTTCGCATCTGTGTGTATATAACAGAATACACATCAAATAGACACACTCAATTAAACCTTAATTATAAAGTGGTAAACAGTGAAGTCTTTTAGAATCTGGCAACTGTGAATAAATTAGAAAACTGCAGAGAAAAAACAAAACTTGACATCATGAGGCATGAGCTCATTTCGTATAGCTTAAGTTTGTGTACATAATCGTATCCAGACACCTGGCGCTGCCTTCCATATAGAATTTTGACAAATGCTGGAATTTTGGCTTCGGTTTTCTTTCAACTAGCCTGAACTTACATTTGTATAATGTAATAAAGCAAAATTTTAAGAGACACATTTTTTTCTCACAAGGTAAAAGAATTCTTCAGCTCTTTGAAAGAAAATGGTTCTCAGCTCCGTTGTGTCCAACAAACAATTGAAACCATTGAGGAAAACATACGTTGGATGGATAAGAATTTCGATAAAATCAGAGTGTGGCTCCAAAACTCAAATCTTGAACTGCTGTAACAATTTGTTCCTTGTTGGTTCCTGCGATCGAAACTCACCACCATTTTGTCGAATATGAATATTTTCAATCTAGAGATGGCTTTTTGGCTCCCACTGAAGATACTTTTCCTTCAACTTCTTACTCACTTGTCTAGTCCTGGGAAAAGGCTGGCTGTTCATTTTTTCACCAGTGGGTTATTTCTATCGTGTGTTTCATTTACAGTGTTGTCCGCAATGTAAACCCCAAGTGGGTTCCCCGCTACTGAGGAGTAAAGTACTTAATTCTTCTTTTATATTTTATACTTAAGCCCCCCAGTCTCCAAACTCCTCCCTCCCACGTGTTTGTCAATCGTAGGCTGGTTTTTTAGTTTCCTTATAACACTGAACAGTGGAGACTACTGCCAGTGACCACCTGGATCGGTGACTAAGCCAGGAGGAGCCTGGTCCACTTTCTACCTTCTCTTCCTTGCTGCATGCCCTGGGCAAACTTGAACCCCTACATGTACCCCATCAGGCTTCCTTGCCCTTTGGCTTGTGGCGAGTCTCTCAGGAGGGCAGATTGGAGCTGGGGTGGGAGAGAGGAGGTGGGGTGCTTATCCCCCTAGTTCCTTTGCAGGCTGCCTCAGGCTGGCCTCCACTCAAGGTCTCAGCGCCGGCAGGGCGCCCCCCTTTCCCATTGAGCCCTCCCCATCTCTGCATTCCAGTAGCCCCTTCCTTCTCACCCCTTCAGGATGAGGGGTGAAGTGGCAGCCTGGCTTTTACTAGTCCTGGCTGTACTTGTGGTTTCCATGTGTCCCTGCCTGCATTTTTGTTTTAACCCCCCCCCCC